GAATACACATTTATCCATATCGTTTTAATTCTATGACATACAGAATATTATTATCTCAGTTGCTTATCAAAATTTTAATTCAAGATACGGAATGCATTTCTCACCTGAAGAGATCCCTTAGGGCAGTATTCGGTTAAGAGGCAACAATGGGGTGGCTCGAGACAGGCACCGTAAAATCGTACAAGATGATCATGCTGAAGATCCTTCATCTGCGAAAGTCACCAAAATCACCACTCATATGAATTATAGTCTATTACATGCAATACCGTATTCTGGATAAGAAATTACACACGAAAAATTATTTATCAAAGATTGTTATTAAAAGAAAAGTATATCCCGGAGTTTTATCAAAAGATTGCGTTTAACATATATATTAAAATTGACACGCGATATAACTCACATAAAGATATGTTTGCAAAGTCAGTTTACTTACCCGCTTTAATTCGAGCAATAAAGGCCTGGAGATCTCAACTTTGTTTCTCGGTATATGTTTTATAGCGATTTTTGAGTTCTGAAACAAATTGCGATTTCATGGTCAACGGAATTATTGACAATCCTTCGCGATTGCCTCGAAAACTGTCCATAAAAAAAAAATATCGTTCTCCACAAAAAGCGATGCCTAGAGATACAAATTGAATCAACGTTGAATATTGATAAAATCCGATGATTTTTTTGTTACTCGACAGTATACAAAAGCCTTAAGGGAGACAGTTCGAGTTATTGAATAGTAAAAGACAATTGTGACGACGCGATAGAAAATTTTATGAGAAAACTTCTCTAAAGTTGCAGCCGCGCTCGCTTTACGAGATGAAATCATTTAATAAATTAAAGATCTTGCTATTTTTTTATTCATGTGCATTTGTCATGCAATTTTATATCGTTCTATTAAAGCAATATCCCCGTCCTAAAAGAAACCAAAATGAATATTGATTGGCAGGTGCAAAGAAAATAAATTCCTTCCATATATGACGCTTATACCATATAATACAATTGTGAATAATACACCGACATTTAATTCTATTAGTACTGAAAAATACGATGACGACTCGAAAAATACGTTGTATTTTGCATGCATATATAAGTGTAGTACGCACATATTGTGGTTTATTTTCTCTAAGTCTTTCAAATTATATCCAGCATGATTGATGATATGTCGCGTGTATGCGCCGAATTAAATACTATACACGTTCGAATAAAAATAAAATGTAGTCTAACCTTATAAAATCCCGTTGGAACGTACACATTTTTATCAACATCATCCGGCATACTTGCATTGTCCTCGGTATATATCGTCTGGAACAGAAATTATTTCTTGAATAATTTTTCGTATTATGCAAGATAAACTACAGCAAGCAAATTATCTTAACTTGCAAAAAAATATTGTACAAAGATAGATCTTTCTTTTTTTTAAACCATAAAGATTAAATGTGCCCTAATTAATCAAACTTTTAACTAAAAGTAAACGCGAGTTCAACTAGAGTAAACTCTCGTTACTCAATATATTACTGAAACTATGTTTGCCAAAAGATCTTCACTCACGATCGTTTAAAATTAAAAATTGTTAATGTGCCAACTCATTAAACAAAGTTTGGCTGCAAGCTGATCAAGGACTATATCGTTAAATTTTGTTAAATTTAAGATAGAATATTCCGAAATATCTTGCATAAACAGGCGAATAAATTTAAAGTCAAAATTAAATCGTATTCTCATTCTTTTTGCAATTTATTTTTTATCATAAAAAAAATAAGAATTTCGAAATTAAATTCAATTATAGAATATTCTTTTTCTTTTACTTTTGCATATTATAAAGAAACGATAAGAAACGCGGGATAACGTACACACAATGGAATAAAGAATCTTCTTTACTACTCCGCTATAGTAAAGAACGACGGACGCTCCGGAAGTAGGTAAAAGAGCACTACACTCGCGAAATGATATTTTTCACCATTGTCCTCTTTTCTCTTTTCCAACTTCCTACTTAAGATATGAGCACGTCGAGAACGAAATCGTCGAAATAAACGTAACGCTATTGGAATGAATGTTTGGAATAAAAATTTGATCGTCGTCGCTGTTGTTTACCTTATCCACTGTAGCTTATCGCGTAGCGCGAATATTTGCTCAAGCTTTGTTCGAATCACTCTTTTTGAAATGTCGGACAATCGAATTATCGTTTTCGCGAACAAAACAATATTAAGGACCTTGCGCAACGATTTCACGCGGGAATTTCAATCCCCTCCTCTCATATTTACCAGTTGGCTGCCGCGAAACTTATTCGCAATCAAAGAGTACATAGAACCCCTTGTCTTTGCGTTCGGTATTACGATTACGTCATCCCAATGCACCTTCCACGTCATGGAGGCAATTTCCGCTTCCAGTTTGAAGCGTCTGCAAAACAAACGACAGCATTATCATCGACAAAGGAGAGGGTGCTACAGCGCGGAAGCTTATTAAAAAAATTTAATAACGCGATACTTCGCTGCAGCGTGCGTGATAAACACGCGCGCTTATCACGCATATGTGTCGCGAATTAATTCCAGACATCGTTCTTTCTTCAGTGACAAAGGATATTTTCGCGCGCGCTTTTCTCGTTGATTAACGATATTCTTTTATCAACGGCAATTCTCGTATCGCAAGGTAATATTTTGCGAAGATGCAATTAATCAGTTCGTTAAACCTGTACGTCCTATATCTACGAATGCGCAAAGTTGTATAGGCAAAGTTCGCAATCCCAGTATGCTGGTCTATACGTGCGTCGAACAACTCAAGAGGTAATTACGTGCCGGCGTATCTCATAACCGCATGCCTATCAGTCCCCCATGCGGGATATTATTCCGCATATAAAGGCTTCCCATGTGTACGGAATTTCTTGAACTAAATGAGTTTGATATATTTAACAGAAGTTATACCAAAGAGGGTATATCATACGCGCACATTATATTCGCGGAGCGAACTGCGAACGAAAACGCAATCGTCGTTCGGAATTGATCGTGACGTATGGTTTCGACAAGAATTTAGATTACCGAGATAATAAATTTACACGAGATAATTTCATTTACGTTTTCCACAAGTATGTAACCCTGAAGATGCGATATTTGACTTTCAGAAAAGTAGAATATGTCTCTTTCTCCTTTTCTCTCTCCTTCTCTGTCTCTCTCTCTCTCTCTCTCTGTATGCAATAATTTTATCTCTGTCTTGTATAATTTCCTTTACAACAATTACACATAGTTTGAGCACCACAGAGAGCCGTTCAAAGCGAATTGCGAAACACTCATGTAATTGCTCGTCAAAAATGCATGTTCTGTAAAGCGGAAGATGAAATTCAAGCTGCATAATGTAGTTGAATCACTTTCCGCACTTTGCCCGTATTTCCGAACATCGGAATCATACCAAAAATATATCTCGATCGTGCGCGTACCGCAGATTACAAAATTAATTTATCTCGCGGAGTTTCTACAGCGCTCTATTAATGTCGCATAAATTGAATTGACCTCAATAGAAAACGCAAATAATTTCATTTGCCTTACGATTAGATTTAAAAAATGAGATATTTCCGTTGAAAGAAGCTGGATAAAAGTTTTCAAAAACATCGGAGAATTCGATATGCTATTGTCCGAAAGTAGTTCATTCCATTAAACAGATAAATTTTAATGCATCTTAAAGAAAGTTGTAAAACCGTGCAACTGCGCTATCGTATCTCTGATTAAGATCCTAAGGAAAGATACGACGTGTATAAAATCAAATTATAATGCGACAAAATGCGCAATAAACTCGCGAAAACGCTGAAGAGCTCTCGAATAATGATAGTGTAATAATTATCCATAGAAGATTGCCGATCAAAATATATGAAATCATTTGTAATTATACCAATTATTCGAGAATATTACCGCTACTCATAAAATGTTTAAGATCATGTCGTAAATCCAAATTCACTTGCGAAATGGAAGGAAACAACTTCATTTAAGCGTTTTGAAATTCGTGGCCAACAAACCATATAGACAAAAACACTTAGAGAAATCGCGTAACGGAATTGACAGGCGAGATAAATTGATTACCCCACAGTATACGCTGAAAATTTTACCACAGATAAGTATTATCTCGCCTCGTTCGCGTCTACCTCGTTACCTCGCTCCACTCGTTTCTACCTTCCTTAGCCTCTCCTTGCCCTATTAAAGGTAGCGCACTCGAGGAAGCTGAGAAGCTTCAGCTATTCGTCCTTGATATGTATATGTGCACTTAGTGAATGCTACTTGGAGGTTATCGTGATAATCTTCTCGCGCAAAAAAACCCTTTAAATTTTTAATCCAGTGAATCCACGTTAATTAATGCGCATATTAATTCGCATGAATCAGCATAAATGTCGATCGATATTTTTGAGTACTAAATGTGCTCATTTCTAAAATTTATTTGCATTAATTTAACGTTAACTTTTAACGTTAATTTAATCTGTAAAGTTTCTTCATTCTTGCTTCAAAATATTTTGATGGATTAATATGCAAAAATAATATTATTGTAGGATTAAATATGCGAAATGAGAAGTTTTACATCGAACAATGAAAAACAATTCTTACTAGAAAATAATTTTGCTAATCTCCTCTAATTAAAAGTCGGAAGAAATAGAGAGAGAGAGAGAGAGAAAGAGAGAGAGAGATGCGCAGTCGGCGGTAATTGAAGTGAAAATTATTATTGACCAGTTTTTATTAAAAAAGTACACGTACAATACACGATTCCACGGATCTTTTTTTTTCTCTTTGTAAAGTACATTTATATTTGTCCGGTTTGAATATTGAATTGGTTTTTCGATATCCAAACATCAACTCGTACACTCAATAGCGTTTACATCTCCATTAATACCGATAAAAACACGTTGGTGTAAAGAAATATATAAAGCTACCTGCTACTCAAAAAGCAAGCTCACTTACCGATAAATAAATACTGAACCAACGACGAGAACGACCACAATGGAGCTCAATACCATGGAGAGGATGGCGTAGCCCGGAAGAGCTATCGAAACATTAGTAATTTTAATGAAAGAAAATATTATACTTTCCAAGACTCAACCTCAGACGACTCCATGCGTAAAAAAATTTACATAGAATTATATCCACATAATTATAAAAAGAAAATAAAACTTGTATATTACACATCTCAGTTGATTTAATCAATTATTAAATTACATTAACATAATAAATTTTACAATATAATGAGAATTTATATAAAATATCTTTCTCGTTTTCGAATATATGTGATCGCAAATTTTTTTATCGCACTCATAATGTGTGTAGTGTATATTAAAAATTAGATATATTTTTTATGTAATCTTATATATTCTTACAATAGATTGAACAAGTATTATTAAAACTCACAATTATCGGGACACAACGATCCGTCGAATCCGCAAGTAGGCGTATCTGGAGGTGGCTCTAAACGTCCTCCGGCCCAGTGAATTTTCTTCCCAGGAATATACTCCAATGTTTTGTTTGCACCGTAATAATTTGCTACGATCTGTGAGAAATTATTTTGCAAGTAAAATGAAAAGCGCAAAAGAGTGCGAGAAGCAAGTGAACATATTGGAGCAAAACAACACGCTTTAGAGATAAACGCTGTAAGATTTTACGCTCAATCTTAGCTTGACATGCTAAATGCGTTAACATCGTACAATGTCGCGGATTAAATTGCTTGAGCTGCTACAACGAGACGTTGGATAAAGTTATATCATCTTAGACATAAAATACGAGATCTCGAGGATATCTTACTTCGAATCTAGATGTTGCCGGATCCATATCCAGCAGAGAATAATCCGCAATTCTATCGCCGTTCTCATCGATGTTTACGTCGCCGGTTATTCCTGGAATTAAACGTGTATAATTATATAAAAGTACAAAATGTCATTATATATTTCATTTTTACTCGGTGGAGTCCAATCAGCGTTGAAGATTACAGCTGGCAGGCAGTCATGGAATTGTTAATTCTCAAAAAGTTATATTTCGCGCAGTGGTAAAATCTCGCGATGGATGAGCAACCGAGGTTCGAAATAACCAATAAAAATGCAACTCTACGCACATAGGAGGACAGGAATACAGGACGCATTAAAATACAAAATAAACTAACAATCTCGCATTCCACGTCAGCTATATCGAGACCGTGAGGTTTTTCCTGTGGGAAAATCAAGAATTGCGAAGATTGAAACAAAGAAGCATAATATAACAGTGCAAAGTGCACGATACTTCAAAGATTGTCTGAAAGATGAGATATAAAGCCAAAGTCACAGAGATCAACTATTTGCATTTTCATATTGCGAAGTAAAAACGAAGGATATATTCAGATTATCTCGTATACACACTTGAAGAATCTAGATTTATTTCCGTACAAAAAACATTTATTTACTAAAATATCTAAAAAAAAAAATTGCTTTTGAATTAATCAAAAAATTCGAAAACAGAAAAATCCGTAAAAGTTAAAAATATATGCATATCAAAAATGAAAATATAAATCATGAACACTTGGATAAAATTTGAGAGAGCAAGAGATACGAAGGGAGAGAGAAAAGCGGTGATAGTACACAAATTGATCTCATTAGTTACAGAAGTTGAAAAGCCATCGTGGTGTCAGTGACACATCTCCAATGTGATAATTCATCGAGATAATTAATTTGACTCTGTTCAAAACATATCTAATTAAACGGCGTCTGATGAAATCATCAGTTATCGCTTTTCCAACAATACTGACATCTAATCCTCGTTCGAGGATTAACTTTGTGAACGTAAATTACGAACGACTGCTTGATGCAGCGCGATGACGCGATAAAAACCGCCGATAACGCGATTTTCCACAGATAAACATGCCTTTATCGTAAACTCTTTGAAAATCTAAACCGTACGCTTCGCTGGAAACTGACGGTGCTAATGTTTATTGAGCAATCTCATCAAAAGTAGACAATAAAAAAATTCTATCATTATCGTGTCCAAAACTTCTGTACTTCTATGTTCAATTAGTAATACATAATTAATGTCGCAGCAATTAAACAATATAATACAAATTTCTTGTAACAAAATTTCAACAATCGATTTGATCGATTCTCCATTTCTGTTGGAATGGTCTAAATCAAAATTTCGCTCATTGTCAGACGATTCTCTCGCTATAAATATAAACAACAATAAAGAAAAATAACTGAAGCTCACCTTTGAAACTTTTTCCCCACATCCTTCGGGTTAGATTACCGCCGTCCAAGTTGACCTCCCCCGGCTTCTCCGGCAAGCTCTCCTTAAGGGCGAGGGCGTAAAGCAGCACGGCGTCGTAAAACGCTGTCACAAACGTGGAGACCGAACTATTTCCGAAAGTAAAGTTATATTTGCTTTGCGCCAAACTTTTGACCTCGCGCGAAAAATTTAGGTACTCCATGTTGTCCGGGGTGCGCGCTGTCACTGTCAGCAGGGCCTGATAAGCCTTACGGGCTTTTTCATTACGCTCGTCGGTGTCGCCGTCGATTCTCCACGGTTCTGTGGAATCGTTGTCACTGGAATCACATTCGCTACCGTTTACTTGTTTTGCGATAAAAATGCGCGTTATTATGAGAAAATAAATTCATATTGTTCCAGGATTCCAGAAAATTCAATTTTATGCAATTCTTATAAAGTAAACATTTTTTAGCAGATAATATTTTTACAAAATAAAATGCTTTGGTTTTTATGGAATGTTTAAACTTTCTAAAATTGCAATAAATTTATAGAAATAGAAGAAAAAAAGAGAAAATTTGTATATTTAAAATCGGTTGTGTTATACAGCCCATAATATAAATTTCACATTAAGAGAAACATATTATAATTTGTATCAATATAGAAAATTCTTTTTATTTTAATAATTATTCTGCATTTAAGAAATGAGTTTACAAAAATAGCTTCTCTCATACAGAGAAACGTACACGTGCGAAAAGTATTTTTAAATTTTGTCCATTGTGTATATAGTTCGTTTTTCCGACAATTACCTGAAATTGTTGATATTAAAACGGCATATCGTAAAACGACCCAATTAATTTTCGTTCTGACGAAACATTAATTATTCGAATGTGCCGTGACCGAACAGCTTTTCGACTTTATACTGTGCCAGAGATCATAACTTTCATTTTATGATGACCGATCGTTATGTTATAATTGGGACGTATAAAAGCCGCAAGTACCTATCCTACATATACATATAATGTAACTCTCGAATTACAAAAGGGGCGAAAGTTCGCGTAGAAAACACGATGAGAGCAGTACGTCTCGGCGAAATATGTGATTAAATAAAGTGATGTCGTCGGAATACCGCAACATGGGCGCCTGCACCAACGACGCTGCTTATATTTATTGTTCCAGCATCTTGCTCACATCTCTCTTTCTCTCTCTCCCTCTTTCTGCTGTGCTTAAAGTGAGCGAATAAATCGGTGTAGCTCAAAAGCAATCTCACAATTCGCACAAGGAAATTCTCTCTTTCTCACCATTCCAGAAATTCTTCAACTTTCTATTCTGCGATAGGAGTATCGAGGAGTAGTCTCTCGATTATTCAAGAGAGAATCGAGAGAAAGTTCTTTATATACTTAATGGACTTAATTTTAAAAGATGCTTTTTATCGTGCGCGGCATTTGTCATTCGCGACATTCTCCGAGCTATTATCGGAAAGCTGCCCGATTAATTTCACTGGAAGACTGTTGAATAAAAATTCCAATTACTGTTAAAGTCACTGCTAATCACTGCTTAAATTACGAGATAGTTGAACTACTTTTCATTCTCTGCATCGCGTTCTCATGCAAGTCTCGTTAAAATAAAATTCATCGTTTCACTTCGAAAAAATTTACGAGATCCGCGATTATGGTAAATTCGTACGGAAACTTTCATTTATTGGCTTTTCTCTTCCAAAAGCAGATTTACCATCGATTCGTGGTTACCATCGTAATGGCAATAGTTTTATAGAGATGATAATAGATCAACGCGTTTGTCTATCCTGGATAGACTATAATCTAAATAAAGGTTCGCGGTTTGCGGTTTCAGATACGATGAATCGGTGAATTCCACTCGATTCAAAATCACGCGATATCCTTTATTAAGGGGAGCGAAACAAAGAGAACAGAGAGAGAAGCAAAAATGTTACGCAAATCGCACCGAATGCGATAACAATTTTGTTGTTTTTACCCAGAGACGCAGATATTTTTTTATGACCAAACGCACAATCTCTGTATCATTTCGGGATCGTTAAAATTCAAGATCCCGCTTTGATTTTCGTTGCAGATATACAAGATCCCATTACTACCGCGGATAAGATAAACAAGAAAACAAGACAGCGTCCGAGAATGCGATCGTAAGAAACTTACGACCATGAGGAAACACGTACTACGATGTTTTGAAATTAGCAATTTCCCGGGACGACGCATTTCAAGGCCTCGTTAAACGGCGCGATTGCACAATACCCGCCCTTTGTACACACAGTAGATGCGTAAACGCAGTTTATCTAAGCGAGCGGAATGCTTCACGATTTAACGCGAAACGACTGTGTCGACGACACGGCGAGCAATAAATTAGATTAAATTAGACTATAAATGTTCTTTCAAACGTGACTCAGTAACACATGGAATATCTTCAAATAAACACGGAACAAACAAAATAAACACAGTTATCCAATATCATAACTAAATTATGCTAAACTAATATTAGTACACATTATTCCAGGCAACCGTAGACATTAGTTCTGAATTTAGTCGAAATAATTCACCAGAGAGGAGATACATCGTGATATCTGTGACTAATTAACAATAGAAGATATCTATTTTTATAGAGAAATTATACATATTTTTTTTATACTCGTAGCTTTTGTAGAAGAATAAAAAATAGCCTTTTTTTCTATGCATAGAATGAATATTTCTTCGATTCGCGAAAACATATTTAGCGTCGTCAGATCTCTTATTAATCTTTTTTTTTTTATCTGCTTTTCATCCCTTCAGAATTACTGGAAATAAACGCGATGTGTTTCACGCCAATCTGCCTTCTGTATAAGGTCGAGTCGTGTAGCGACGATGATTCCACATTCGTTTCAATTATAAAATGGCTTTAGTGTCCAAGCCGCATGCTATTGTACAAGCCCGTTACTTATGTCCTAGTTTTCGACATGCGACTCGCATTTTTCTGCAGATTTCACGCATACATTACCTTGTTGTTTTACAGCGCAAGGTTTTCCAAATAATACGCGGCCAGTTAAATCACTAAATAAGATGCAAAATTCAGTTTAGTATTACCACGCACGAAATGTTTTATTTGAAATATCTTGTGTAGATTTGAAAAAGGAATTTAAAAAAAGAAGAAATATATTACACACACACACACACAAAGATATTTATTATGTTCGTAATGCACTATGTGTGTGATTTGATTAATTTCCTCTCTTTTATAATAAAAGGGAGTTTTTTTACGGTTTTTAATGAATACGTTTTATAATTATCTTACATGCAATATATTTAATTTCTGTATATTTATATGCACACACACGTAATACTTTTATACACAGTTTAGTCTACTCACCTGGAGGAAAGCTCTATGGAGAAGAACACATATTCTCCTGAGTCCACCATCCCGAGCTCTTCGGCAGCCAGCAATATCTCCCGGATGGTTGTTGAATTAGCGCACATTACCACGACTAAAATAAAAAAGAAAAAAACGATTTCTTGTGGGAAGAAAGAAAGAGAGAGAGAAATATAGACAGACATGTCAAGATCTGTACAAATATTATTGCCATCAGGCCACGATATGTGATCGATTCAATTTCATCCGCAGTTTGCTACATAAAATGTGGTACAAATATATATCCATATAATTTTTTTTAAGTATGAAAATACACAAACCCATATGTTGATACACTCTAACCACAACCTGCTGTATTTTTTATAAAAATAAATGACGAATAGTTTAGCTGTATCAATAAGTGATCGATTAAAAAATAGTATCGTATAATTGAGCGTCTTTGCTAAATAAATTTGTTATTTAAATGTAAAACTATCCATAATTTGAAAGAAGCACTTCAGTTAATTATATTACTAAGTAAACTTTACTCATCAGAAATCAATATACGTTGAATGGTCGCTCACTCTAATTGATTTATATGATTAATTTATAGATAATTATTTACTCAAATGTATTTATTCAAATTGGAAAGATAGATAAATTTATTTTTAAACTACAAGAGATTACAAAACACGCTGTCTACGTACAGTAAAAAGATGGTATATTATGTTTCAAACTCAACTTTAGCGATCTATAATCGTCGCTATATATCCTACTTTGACATTTTTATCCCGGCTCAATAGTTTTAAGCCTAGCCGATTCAACGCGGTATCCAGAGAGATATATATATACAAATGGAAGAAAAAAGATAAAGAAATTTCGATTTCGCTTTAAAGCGAGATACATCAAGTACATACGCCGATATTTCAAAGTTAGAGTATTGTTGTTGAGCGCGAAGATTTTTATCCGCTTCGTCAAAATGTATCTTCTTGTCAAGTTCCAACTTTGCAAACCTTGCAAGTAACACGAAGATGAATGTTCTTCTAGCATATCCGTGTTATATCGCGAGTGCGATAAAATCCTGCGTAAATCCAGAAAATCTTTTATACACAGTCGACGTTCTTCGAACATTTCATTTCCTTCTCCCACATCAACCATGAACCCGTAAAGCTGCCCGAATTTCATAAAACGAAGATATTGCGCGCGAAAGAAACTTGTATTAAAAATATACGAAGTTCGTTGGAAGTATAAATTGGAAGGATTACGCGAATGTCCCTCATTTCTAGAGTCAATAATCTCCTTTTTATCGAGAAGAAATATTGAAAAATGTATCGCTTAAATAAGTTATAGAAATCGCAGAGACATATTATAAATCAAATGGAATTCAGATGATTTTTTTTTCACTTCGCATTTCAGACGACATTTTTACGCGTTTCACAGAAATCGAAATAACATCTACTCTCAAATTTATGCTCGGTTTTATTGACCGTCTAAATTTTTTAAAGAGGAAAAGCGACGCTTTTAGAAATTGATTCACTCATACCTTATGCAAACTACTAAAATTGATAAAATTTATATTTCGTAAAATTGTCGCGAGAGTATCAGAATATTGATAAATAAATCTTATGAAACAAACGCGAGGAAATAAATTCCAGGACATATAAATGCGAAATGCACTATCGCAAAACAATCCGCGGCAGCCGATATCATCGTACCGCAACACGTCAAGCGAAATATAAACGTTTATTCTAACAAAGTCGTAATCCAATTTTTACGACAAGCCAAATACGCACCATTAATCGGTGCAATGCTCACACATCACGCTAACTTGAGATTTATCAGAACACAATACGCGATACATAAACATCTTGACATAATTTATGGAATTCCATAAAATTTAATAAAAAGTAGCGCTCTGCGTCAGGCCACGGAAATTAATTTTACTTAATCTGGATGTGCAATTATATATCACATTTTTCTCAATATTTCAAAATAATAAGTATAAATTAATAGATGTAATTTCAAAGAAAAAAAAAGATATATATATATATCTTTTTTTTTATATGATCAAGAGTTTTAAAATATTTTTAAAGCCTGATAGAAAGAAAATGTGTAAAAAGGTAGTAAAATTAAATGTAAAGAAGATTATTGATGACAATCGAAATGATATGTTTGTATTTTAATTTCACCATCAAAGTATATGTTGTCCACTCTCTGTTTATCGATACGTGATGAAACATTTCATTAATCTCGCATTGTCAAATATAAATTTGCTCTCGCGTGTTCGTCGCTTTTATGCACATAAACTTCTTGCGGAACGACGAACGACGCGTTTTGTCATATTACTGCATTATTTGCGAACACAGCGGGCGAACAAAATGCATTATATCGTAACGTCGTGCGTACAATAAGATGCGAAACGACGTCGTTCTTGCATTATTACAGGTCGATCCCACTCGGTGTCTCATTAGAGATGCTCCTCACTTGTAGTTAACCTTGCCATCGCCACCGACAACGACTAACAAGAGCTATATGATACAAAGGGATAAAATTCACTCCATTATGTGAGCGCATCCCGTCGACAAAATACGAAGACATCGACTTAAGCGCTTCCAGTCATATGTTCTTACTCCGTTTAAAACATTTATTAGCTGGAAATACAATTATGAGAGAATGCAGAGACTGGAGTGGCGTACACAAGATGTATGACGGATGACAATAGAGTATTTCACAATGCCTCTTGATAATGTCTATTATCAGCAGAATTCCGTCGCGAATATTGATCGTAATCTGGTACCTCGTCGTGCATTCTCTCGTATTTTCCCATACCTGAGGCTTTAGTGTACATTAGCTCTAAGAAGCTTAACATGAATCGATTATCATTGTTGATACTATTTCGAAGACGAAGACTTTTCCCAAGACGATTCGTAAGTCGAAATATATTTTCCTTTCTTCCTTTTTTATATATAGAAATTCATCACAATAATCGTAAAAGTTTCTTAAACGATTACTCGATAAAAAAACTAAAATGTGAGGAATTTTCACTTCTTTTTAAATCTTTTAGATAAGTAGATCTAGACAGAGGTAAGGGACATCGCTTAGCATAAGGGAGGAATTTTGATTAAACAATCGCTGAGCTAGTATATTGTGATAAAAATCGAAACCTTGAAGATTCTACATGCCGGTGCACAGAGAATATCGTGATAAACGATCGAGGTGTCGCGAATGTGACACCTTGTATCGACTGAGAATGTGAACGATAGTAAAAAGCAGTCGAGGCGTAAAACGAAAGGACAAGCCGGGCTCATATCAGCCGTCGACGCGAGTAAAATGGGCAGATCGATATTACATGGCACGTCTGTATATCGGGAATAGCCTCATTATCACATAGATCGAACTATCTTCCTACTTCTCTTTTATAGCTCGTCTTTCACGCCCGCTACTCGGGATACATGAGTTTCCAAGACAGCGTTCGAATGGAGTTAAACGTAAATTCGTCGTGTAATTTTCTTTCTCGGCACGATAATGTGATAATACTAACGCGGTAAATGTCTATCTAGTAACATCTGTTTCGAGGAAATTAAAGAAATTTCGCGCAAAATCTCTTAATAAAATAAATATAAAAAATTCATTATCCGTAAAATAATATTATAAAATATAACTTAATGATAAAAAAGAATTTTTTATTAATGTATAATATATTGGAAAGGGATAGCGTATATATATATAACTTCCACATTCTTTGATATTTTCATAAAACCGTATTATTAATATTCATAAAATAATTACTCGTATTATTAATATTCATAAAATAATTGCTCGCCATAATTAATATATATTAAATGTTTCGTGTAAAAAATTTTTTTAAATTATTTTGAAACGACATAAACGTGTATGCAAAAAGACCGCAAATGCATACATACGAGTATACGATTGCATCCGCAAAATGTTTGATAAAATCGATAACAGGATACTATTAATATATATCCAGATCAATAATATATTAAGATTAGACATTTTGTGCAATACATCGAGGTTAATATCCAAGCGACATTAAATATGAAGCAGATATGTCTGTTATCGGACCAGTTTCTTGTCTCGAATATTTTTAGCACAATAATGAGAACTCGATGAGACAGCACGAATCTGAATCATCGCATTTTTCGCGAAATGAATAATAACAAAAATTTGATAAGAACTTAAGCCCATTTTGCAACAGCGAAACTTTGAGAATCCCAATCAATCGGCGATTTGTGGCATTTACCAATAATTTAGCATATATCGATGACGACGCGTCACGTTCTCGAATTAATGTCGAATTCTCGAAAATCGGTTGGCGTCGGCGTCTCGATCTCGCCCGCGAATTCCTCGCGGTTCTACTCCAAGAATCTCGCAATCAGATAAGTGATTAACATGTATGATAATAATAATATAATTTAATAACTTTAGATATCTAATAATAATGATAATAATATATAATAAGCCATAATAAATTATTAGTACTGATCATTTAAGAGGCAGAAATCATTTAAGAAGCAAAAATGTATAGAAAAAGTAAAATATATTAAATATACAATTGTATCTTTTTACTTTCTCCATCTATTATATTTATCTTCAAAAAATTATTCTTTACACAACACGTTTCAAAGAATCTTTCAATTCTTGAAAAATTCGGGAGGCGTTGATTTTGTAATTCAATTTTTTTTCAATGTGCGAATATTTTTACGCTCTTTGTAGAATAATTTTAATTACAAAAAAATAAAAGAAAATAATCTCTTTAATCGTATTTATCACAATCGATAAATTCAAAACGTTGCTTGGTAATAGGATGAAAAATATTTGTACATTATCTCGGAAATCGCAAGTGCCGTGCGAGTACACTTGGCGGATAGAATCGAATCGAAGAGACATGCTCTGCAGCTTGTTTCATTTCTATTGAAGATAAGTCTACCGTAAACTTTACGTAATACGATTCAGAAGCGTTGAAAGCGATGGAAAACGGAAAACGAGCGTGGAGAAATTTTCAAGATGCAGCTCATACAGGAAATCATCTGCGCTATATTTGAGGAAATTGCTCGCAATGGAACATATGACGATTGAATTAATGCGATTTATAACATAACTCGATGATTATGG